GATTTTTTTTCTTGAAATATCCCAAAATAAAATAGGTATTATTAGTATAGATTTGATATGTTCTTTCCTGAGTCAGGACGTCAGAACACATGGATTCCAGCAGTGGCACTTTTAACCTATGATTCCTAGGCCTCTCTTCTGTCCCCTAGTTCTTTCTATCTTTCTTGCCAATAACTGTGCCCACCCATGAGCAGTTAAAACCTAAACACAAAGGTAAACAATGCTCCTTTTAAAATACTCTGTCTCATTCAGTGCTATGCATAAAGCTTAAATATGCAATTGTACTTTGCACAAGTATTTCCACAGGGGAATAGTATGAGCTTATAGTTTTACCAAGAGTATGCTGATAGAAAAAAATAAGTATAGTATACTACTGAAATATTTAATAATTTTACTGTTATATTTTTATTAATATCAGCACATTGGAAGCCTGATATCCACAGAGGTAGACTTTACCTTAAAATTTTTCCTCCTTGCCTGTGACTCTTTATCCTTAATTTGGTTTATGGTACTATAGAAAATTTCCTGATGCCAAGTCAATGCTTATAATAAGAGGATTTTCACATATGCCCTAAGATCATGTCGCCGCTAAAAATTCAGCAGGTCTTCTCATTGTTTATGAGTGGATGTTGTTTTGCAGCTTAGAATAAAGGAGTCGTGATAAAGTTATGTCTAAATCTACCTGCCAGTGATGGCTGATTTTTATTTCACTATACAACATTTGGATATAATATCTGTTTTCTTATGTTTACACTTTTAAATCCTTAGCAACATTATCAAAGCCTTCAGGAGTAAGTCTTGACAGCAGAAACTCAAGGCACGTTGTACTTACATGTATTCCTGGAAAGTATAAGCTTGAGGTAATATTAAGTGTGATGTTGGCATTTGATAAATCAGATGCAATGATACTAATTATGCAAAGCAGTGACTTTGAATCTATCATTCATCCGAATGCCATTTATTTAATTACTAGCAGTAGGAAAGGTAAGGAACTTGCCTGCCCTCTCCTTTCTTTTCCCCAAAACCTTCAGTGATTTTTATGAACACTGAATTCATGGAGTTCTCAGCATTGCCCCGATCATTCAGAAACACTGTTTTCTGTTTACTTAAATTTAAAGCAGTTGTGCTAAATATGCTAGTGAAACATTTATTTGTGAGCAATTTCTTTTTTTTTTTTTCCTTTTTGTCTTTTTTCGTGACCGGCAACGGATCGCGACCCTCAGTGT